ATGAAGACCAAAACAAACCAAACTTGGTGCAAAATGACAGTGAGAATCTCCTCTTTCATATGCAAGCAAAACAAGAACTTAGACCATCACAGGTCGAATGACATTAGCGACCGAAGTTCATGAATCTGGTTAGACTTCCACCACGTGGGAAATGGCTGTCTCAGCACGACTAGAGGGCATCAAAATGCTCAGAATCAAATAAGCACTCAGGATATAATAACAAATCAGCTGAACCATCGCTACAAGTCCATGGAAAATCTTCCAAGATCTGGCATTGAATGGAGGACGCTTAAGCAAGGATGGTTTCGTCTGTAGCATAAAAGGTCTTAGGGGTGTTTTGGTCATTACACCTAATTTCGATGTTTTATTTTAATTTCTTTAATCGTAATTAAGCTCTGTTTTTTAGCATTCACCCATGTTCAATGAGTCCTCTATATACGCAAGCTAAAGTCACTTGTAAACAGACGGATTATTTAGTAGTATTCATCGCTAAAATACAGGCATAATGCTAGTTTTCACTCATCTTTTTCTTCTAAACCCTTAATCCCACTCAGAGGAGAGAGAAAACGTTTCCAGAGAGAAAAAATACCCCTGAGTGAGCGGTCCCATCCCTTCCGGTAGAGATAAGACATCTTTGAGAGAATGGACTCATTCTCTTTCTCTCTCAAGCCAGGTCACATCCCGAGCCCTCTCTCTCTCTCTTCTCCTCCACGAGTCTTCTGCCCCAAGTAGTAGCCCCCGTTCACCAGAGACACACGGTCCTGAGTGAACCTGCGAGCCCCAACCCTTAGGTTCTCTCACACCCTTCTACCAGCCAGCCAGCCCCTCCAGCAGGGAACTGTCGAAAGGAGGGATAATCGAGGCCGATTGCTGTCGCATGCGAGAGAGAGAGAAGAGAGACCTTTTGACAATCTGAAGAGAGTTTCCGTCCAAACCGTGCTGGCTTACAACCAGTGGGCTTCGTGATTGTTTTAAGAGGGCGAACCATCTGAGCGTGTCCCAGGAACCCCAAACAGTGAGACAGACATCCAAACGCTCCCCCCCCCCGTCCCCCCGTCATAAAATCTCTCCGCCTTCCCATGGTGTTCTGGATTCTCCTACTAATGACAAAACCCTCTCAAAGGCATATAGATCTCGATCTAGAACCAACTACCTAAAGCCTCAACGCCTTCGTCTTTCTCAAACCCCCTTGGTTGATCTTTAGAGAGATGAGAGGTAGAAATCAAAGAGAGAGGGAGAGATCTAGTAGCAAGAGGATGGTCCCCTGTGCTACCCACAAATCAAGAACCAATTCCAAGCTAGATTGTGCCCCTTAGAACCCACTAAAGAGATATAGAGAAGATAGCTTGGGCGTGCCCCCTTGGCTTTACCAACTTGAGAGAGAAAGAGAGAGCTACTACTTGGGTTGTTAAACCCTTCTCAGTTAAATCCCTATGCCCACGTATCTTGGGTTTTTCCAAACTCGACTGACCTAGCATGTCGAGTCCAGTCTGAGTATCGGTAAATTGCATTTGCCTAGTATGATGCACAAGAGGACCACAATCGCACTGAATTTATGTTTCGCCCTCATTAGGCCTTTATAGGCCACATAAACCCAACAATCATACACCTAGAAATCGAATTTGATTCATCAATATAATAGTTATTAGCAGTTTGGAAAAATAATAAAGGAAATTTTCATAAAACCCTTGAAAATGGACTTTCTACCCAATTTACCACCAACCTAACTCTTCCTAGAACTGTTTTCCCCAAAACCATGTTTCCTAGAAAATACCCCCTCAACTCAAAAAAAAAAACGAGACTAAAATACTCCTCCCTTACCTCACACGTTGACCATGGCAGTCAGACGCTTCATCATGGCGATCTCACGCTTCATCATGGTGGTCCGACACTTCACCATGGCGGTCCGGCATTTGGAAGAGACGGTCCGGCGCTTAAGTCACTGATTTGAAATGGTCTGACACCTAACCATGGCAATCCTGAACTTCATCAAGGCTGCCCGGAGTTTGGAAGAGGCGGTCCGACATTTGTTTCTAGATTAATGAGCGGTTCGGCATTTGTGAGCTACGGTCTGGTAAAATTGAAAATTGATTGGAATAGGCGGCCCGACAGTGTACAGTTCCGGTTCGGCAGAATGGATGGGTCCGGCAATATACAACCGTGGTCCGGCTTTTCCTTTTATTGAGATCCGAAAATGATTTGTTATGTATATGAAGTGTATTTTCGTCAAAAAAATGAACTTTTTGTATTGAAGGGATATTCGCTATAAAACTTGATTGTTAGAAAAATTATGCTAAAAAAATTAGGATGGGATAAAGTGCCTTGAAAGTCTATTTTTAAAAATTTTATGCAATTTTCCCAAATAAAAAACAATGCAGGCTTTTGCCAGTTGGCGTTGCTTATACGTTGGGGTTGAAAGAGAACATTCGCAAAACCCCATGGGGAAGAGAAAGAGAGAGTAAATTATAGGGCACACACGAAGCTAAACAACTGGAAACATCCAAATGAATAAAAGTTGGTATCGAGCAGGAACATGGAAAATTAGGGTATTTTCTAGTGTTGGTGACTAGGAATCTCACTCATCAAACTTAATACAAATAATGGTTAAGGAATCACGGTGTTGTCCAAGTCCGGCAGAAAATGTTACACACAGCAATGCATCAAGTAAGTCACATTGTTTGTTTCAGAGTTCAGACAAATATCTTCTATAAATAGGTACTCCAGTGATATCACAAGATGCACAAAGCAAAGGTGAACATGGAAGTCATGATTAATCTTGTCCCTTAAATTTTGTTCCTTTACTACCAACCTTTTAAGTTTGGATGGTAGGTAAATGAAGTTGTTCCGGAGAGAGTCTTAACTAGATCTATCGAACAAGTGTTTCTCGACTTTTGCTTTGAGCACGTAACTTTCTTTATCTTGAACTTTTGGCATTTTTTTATCTTGGACCTCTTTTTGGAAACTTTAAAAGCCTTTCATTTTGGTTTTAATTTTATAGGCCTCTTTAACTTTGACCTCTCACTCTCTTGGCTATGAACAATCAATAGAAGTAATAAAACTTATAACAATCATTATTAAAGCTAAAAGGAGAAGTTACCGTATGAAAGTGGTTTACTTTCATTAAAAAAAAACAAAAAAAAAAACTCATTGATGCATAATATTCAAATACTAAAACTAATTTTATATATATATATATATATATATATATATATATAGTTAGAGACAAGTTTGATTTTTTCCAAACAAATGTTATTGTCTTTGGCTAAGAAGATCTCATAATCCATTTGAAAATTAATCATCGTAAATGACGCATCAAACTATAACAAGTAATAATCTAAGAAGGAACCAAACAATAGCAAATGATTTAGGGTATGAAAATTGTCTGTGAAGGAACCAAATAAAACCTTTTGCGAAAAAAAAATGTTCACCAAACAATAGCAAATAATTTACTATTAAAGTCGATAAAATATTCAAAAAACTTTTCAAGAAGAAAACAAAAATAAAAACTCAGCAAACACATTCTTCAATAAATAGCACGGGAATAATTTTGATCTATCATTTAGGAACCATAATTAAAATAGCAATAATAATAACAAATTATAGAGCTAAAAAAAGATACATACGTATGATTTTCAAGCATAGTATGTACTAACACAGAGCTACATAACAATCAAAATAAATTACTTAAAAAGACTTTGGGGCTATGAGTTTTTATCTCTATGACGAACGTCTGATAGGGGAAAAAGCACAAACAAAGGGTCTCGGAGATATCTCTTTTTACTACGACAGTGACGGTTAGAGAGAGATATACGACTGAAAAGAAATATGGCTATATATTCCTTGCACTGTTAGAGAGAGATCACACGAGAGGTAGTAGAAGCTAGGGCACACTGTTCCGGTGTGTGTATGTGTGAGAGAGAGAAAGAGAGAGAGAGAGGGATCAGCTAAGACAGAGAACACGAGAGAGGAAGAAGAGTTTTGGGCATTCGAATTTGGGAATGGGGGTTTATGGGACTGGTGTGAGAAGTCCATGAAAGGGGTATCACTGCATTGAGATTGTCATGGTTAGCATCACGGTTCTTTATTGACCATGATAATCTACACCATCAAGGTCCTGTAAATACTGTGAAGTTTTAAATGGGAATCTAGTATCACAGTCTTAACAAAACCGTGATGACTTCAACCCAACCCGAAGAAAGTTTGAAGGCCATGATGCCGGACCTAAGAATATCGTGAATGATATTTTAGTCAAAAAATGCAAATAGCAGTGAAATGAAAAGGGGTTTGATTTAGGTTTTAGAAACTTTCAAGAATAAAAAATAATAAAAATTTTAGTTTATTCTCTTGAGTGAAAAACCCATCATATATTAAACAAAGTTAAATAAAAAAAAACAAGCTTATATTCAAACCACTATTTTCATTACATAACTAGTCAATAACAACACTATAGAGTCATCCAATGTGGGTTACTCCTATCTTGTAACTGAACCTACAAAAACTTCTCTTTCTAATTTAGACAAAGAATTTAAGTATCTCACCGTGGGTAAGAGGAAACATATATCTACAATGGCACAATAAAATGGTCACATGAATTTGGCACTAAGGCTATGTTTATGAACAAAAACCCATGCCAAACTCAAAATTCTCACATCTAGCCCCGAGGCAAATGGCCAAAGAGCATCAGAAAACATATTCTCTGGAAAATTGCAGTCATCCCAACCTTCGAAAATTTCAGCATGTAGTCCGAAATTTCGTGGCCAAAACTTTGGAGCAAGGAAGCACACGAAGTTCTCGAGCGATTGACTATCACAATGTTAGCCAGCCCTTGGTCTCCCACCTCTCTTGGTCAAAACTTCTATAATTTGTTGGGGTTTTGATCCTCTGCATTGTTGGTGAACCTATGTGAGTTTTTAAGGTGTCAATTGTCTGTTCTTCATCAAAGTCATTGCAACTTGTTAGGGTTATGTTTCTCTGATTTTTTTCAAAACCTCTGCAACTTGTCAGGGTATCAATCCACTCTTTTCGTTGAGGAGTCGGTAAATTGTCGAGTACAATACTTGGTGAAAATATTTGTTCAAGTGTGCGGAGGCAAAAAAGGGGTGGCGATGCAACTGAGAAGCCATCCACCTTTCTGATGGCTCTCTCATGAAACACTTCCCTAGAAAATCAAGGTTGCAATCTAAAATTCCAGTGAGTTTGAGTTTTTCTGGTGATAAATAGGGCACCTTCCCTGTAGTCATCTCCACAACTGTACAACTGAGGGACCATATATCTGAGGGCATGCCTTGTTCCCTCCCCTTAGAAATTTCGGGGGCCATCCACCCCAAAGTCCTGTCGTGAATATCAAGAAGGTCATTGGAGATCCTCTTTGCAGCACTAAAATTGGCGAGTTTGACTTCACCTAAGAACCCCAAGACCACATTCTTTGCTTTAATATCACAGTGAATAATTCCGTTGCCATGAAGGTATTGAAGACCTTTGAGAATGGAGGTCGTGTAAGCTTTAATGACCATTTCTGGCAATCGCTTGCATCTCATAGATAGTGAAGACAAATCACCACCCTCCATGTCCTCCATGAAGATATTCACAGTACTTTCTTCGTCATAGCACTGGCCAAAATGATTCACTATAAAGGGAGAATCTCTTGGATTATTAGGGAAGAGATGGACCCCGAAACTCTCAGGATTTGTTGGCGGTGTCGTGAGACTGAGGGTCGTAGAGTGGAGGATTTTCCTGAACAATAAGAACTCAAAGCTTCTCTGCTTATGCCTTTCCATGGCCATGAAAGGCCTAATTATAGAGGGATAGAGGATGTCATATTCAAACGTTCGGCTTTCTCCTGGAAACTCTGAGAAACGTGCTCATAATTTAGGGAGGTGGGTAGTTATCATCTACCCGTTAGATGATGACTCTTCTCTCTCTAAAAAAGGCCATTAGTTAGTGATAAATATAATATTTATGATAAAGATTAAAGAGAGAAAAAATTGCATATATGAGGGCCCATTGGCCACCCATACGTACCAACATCTCCTACTTGGCCATGAGGATCAGATATATTGATATAATACCACTTAACGAGCATATCCTTGTCATGAGGCTTTTCACACTAGTACAGTTATATATCTCATAACAAAAAATATCCAAAGTTATGTCATAGGGTTTTTCACGCTATTGTGGTTTTCCTTCACATGATCAAGACATCAAAAGAAATATCTCATTTAGGACTTCCCGAATTAAATATTTTTAAGTCCCATCAAAGCTACATACTTTGATAATCAATTTCAATATTCTTACCCTTGGAACTATAACTCCATTTCTAATTGATGAGATAGGAGCCTGATTATTATAGACACCCGCTTTAAATCTAGCAAGTTCTGTTGTTTTCTTAGACCATTAGGATCAAATTGGCCTATTAAACTCAAAATCCATAGGTCACAAAACTTACTCTGTGAGCCTGAACCATTCTACCAGCCCAAAACCCAGCAGATGTCTGGTTGACCGGGAATCTAGTAAACGTGCTGTTTTACGAAAAAATAATTAAAAATAGTAAAAAATTCTGTTTTGAGCCAAATTTTCTTTGAAAACTTCACAAGAGGTTGAGGAAGACACCCAAATTGAAAAAATCAATTTGGACAAGTTTTGGTTTGGGCAACATGGGGCATGCCGCCCACGTGACACAGGGCATGTCACCCAAGTCATCCTGCATTTGTGTTGTTTTACGAAAAAAATCAGCTTCACAAGAGCCTAAGGAACACACTTAAAAAAAAAATTTCAATTTGGAGCCTTTTTTATTTGCCCCGTGCCACCCAGGCGACACGACTCGTGCCACCAAGATGAAAAGGGGGGGTGCCGCCATACATGGTTTTTCCCAAACTTGTTTTTATCATTTTTCATGTTTTTATGGTCATCTTTTGGGTGGTTTGGCCACGTGATGCTATCAGCATCGGTCAAATCTGAATTTTCAAAAATAAAAGATTGGTTTGAGAAAAGGGATTTGTTGGTTACGGGATAACTCCACCCCAACAAATCCCTCGTTCAGATGAACTCACTTTGGGTGACCATAAAAGGATGAAAAACAAGAGGGTTAAAAAAAAAAGGGAGGGACGAGTCTTTTAGAAACTCTCGGCTGGAAGAGAAACCCTAGGAGAGTACAAAGACCTTCCCTGAGAAAACCCTAACTCATCTTAAGCCTGAGTAAACCTATACCTAGGGCATAACAACCCTAGATCTAAACCATTTCTAGGGCACAACAACCCTACTACTACCAGAGACTTGCTATCGACATCTGGACCACAAGGGAAAAAGGAACCGATTTTGATATGGGCGAGCCCTTTAAGGCTCGAGAAGCCCAGGCTATCCGGCCCGGTTCGGTATTTTCTCCCCTTCATTTCCTTTTTTCTTTTATTGTATTTATTTTATTTTGATCTGGCTTTGATTCATTCTGATTGAAAATTGTATTTTGAAATTCTTTGGATCACGCTAGCTTCGCCATAGATCTGCGAGCAAATTTGCTCGTTTTAGGGCAAATATGATCTCTGAATTCGATTGTTCCAACTTTCTCTATCATTTGTTTTTAATTTATTTTTTATCAGTTGAAAGTGTCTAATTTGAGAGATCTACATCGTTGGAACGCTCGATTCTGTACTATAAACAGTTTGGCGCCCACCGTGGGGCAAATCGAGCGTGATCCGAGCATCAAAATTTCGAAAATCTCATTGTCTTTTGAAAATTTTCAGAAATGTTCTAGATACTATTTTGTTATATTTTGCAACGTTTCAAGTCAAAATAAAATAATTAAAAATACATAAAAATATTCTTCTATTAGATTTGATGGCGCTTTATTTTAATTTATTTTCATCAAAAACAATTTTATTTTCTGGTTCTACAAGTTTAAAGTAAGCTTAGTTTATCAATATATACAAAAAAATAATATAAAAAAATAAAAAATAATAAATTTTTTGGGCGGCACAAGGCGCGCCCATGCAGCACGGGTCGTGCAGCCCAAGTCCAAGGCGACACGCACTCTAGTTCCCCCCTTCGCCCAATTCATAATTTTTTGAAATTTTTCACGCTGCATCCTGGGACTTTCTTGTGACTGATCAAAAAGTTTTAGACCAAAATAAAATTTTTAAAAATACTAAAACAATATTTGGCTTGATACAGGTCTGTTGTATTTATTGTTCTTCTGTTGCACTTTGTTTTAATTTTATTTCATCAAAAAATATGATTTTTCTGCTTCTGCAAGTTTCAGTAGCCTTATTTCATCAAGATCAACACGATTAAAATAATAATAATATTTTTGTTTCTTGGGCGACACTACCTGTGCCGCCCAATCACAGAGGTCCCAAAACACTTTTAGGAACCCACAGCCTATTCCAGAGCCTTTTTTGTGCTTGTTCACTAATGTTTTGCTGAAAATAAAATTTTAAAAAATATACAAAAAAATATTTTTCTTCAGATAAGTCTGTCCCGCTCCTAACTATTTATTTATTTATTTTAGTTTATTAATTTTGGCTGAAACCATTTTTCCATGCTTTCACCATGATTAGTCTAACTGTATTTCATCAAATTTAAAAAAATAAAAAAAATTAGGAAATAAAAAATATATATATAAATATACATCGAGGGCTCCCTCACCCTCCTGAACTATGTCCCGTTCGAGTCACCCTTGACTCGAGCCGTGCTCAACTTAGCACGGACTGTGCCTGGTTTCATTGTTTTGACTTTACCTTCTTAGGGGTTGCTTACGCCTCCATCTATATTGTGCTTCGAGCGAGTTCGCCTCGAAGCGCGCATCGCTAAGCACGTTCAGTGCCGAGCGCCCACATATTTTTTTTATTTGCATTGTGTGCCTGACATTATGTTCATTTGCGTGCTTCCTTACACACTCTAGCACACACCAAATAGGAATCCCAAAAAACCAGAAAACCTGAAAAAGAATTTTCCAAAACCCTCAAAATCCGCGTTAGCTGTGTGAGGGGAACACAACTTTGAGAGTCGAGGCAGTTGGGATTCACGTAACTTTAACTATGAGCGTCCCTCCATAATCCTTTGCCTCAAAGAAACTCCATGTATGGTAGGACCTGGCAAAATCCTGTACCAGGAGGCCAGGACCTATGCGAGGACCTATATCAGCCTAGCCGCATTTCAGTAGTTAGGAACTCACTCTCAAGCCAAGCCTACCTATAATACTTTACTAGGTCAAATGTTTTTGTGTGCTTGCTTTCTTATTTTTGATTGGTTAATCTTAGATCTCAGCTCGGACCTGCCTTTGGTCCAAGCTGAACTCTTGGTCCAAGTTCAGGCTTTTACCCAGCCTAGCCCAGGTCCGAACCAGGTTCACACCCAGGTCCAAACCTAGGTTCCATCTTGGTCCAAGCCGAAGGCTCGTTCTTAGCACTCTTAGGTCAAGTCTAGGTCCATACCTAGTCTGATCATTAAAACTCTCTAGGTCCAAGTTCCGGCTTAGACCCAGCCTAGCCTAGATCTGAACCAGGTGCACACCCAGCCTAGGCCCCTTTTTGATTGAGCCAAGGGCTTGTGCCTAAACCAACTTTGATCCAGTCTGGGTCTACTCCCGTTCTAAGTTTCACAACCCTCTAGTTCCATGCCTAGGCTTGTACCCAACTCAATCTAAGTCCAAACAAGGTTTTCACCTTGGTCCAACCTTAGACTCACTCTTGGCTAGAGCCGAGACTCGGACTTACCTTATCTAATCTTTGTTTAAGTCCTAGTATAGGTCTAAGCCTAGAGTTACCTCTAGGGTTGGATTAGGCTTACCCTAGTTCTGAGTCTAAACCAAAACCCGTTGAGTCTAGATTCTAGGCTAATTTTAGCCTAGTGGTCACTCAAGGTTTGCCCCTAGAGTCAGGATACGTCTACCCTAGGTCGTCGAGTCTAGATCTTACTCAAGTCTGATTCTAGAACCCTGCCAACGACGATCACCATGTCAGTCACCCAAGGTGATTATGATGACTGCTCCACGGCTGACTCTAAACCGAACTTTCCCAAACCTAGCGACTAGTATGCCATAATCCCTTGGAATTACGGCCAGAACTCGAGCCAATCCATTATCCATTGTCCAGGTCTTCAATTAGAAACTGAGTCCCAGGGATCAACTCCTAACCCTGAGCTCTATATGGTTCGAAAAGTTGGCTCCACCCGAAAAAGATTGAACAGTCAGGGGGTCTGATCGGGCATTATCCTACCGGGAACCTTATGTAGCCACAGTAGGAGCCGTTTGACCTTAGGACACCAGAGCAAGAGCCGTGCAAGGGAAGAAGTTCATGCGGCATCTAACGCCAATTCCCACAACTCAAACCAAGATAACCCCAAGATGCAGCGGTCTCAGAACCAGGACCCACCTAGGCTAGGAGATCCAATCCAACCTCGAGCCCCCGTAGTACTGCCCACGATGTCTTGAACACTGTACGCAGTAGAGGTGGCAATCTAGACCAACCCTTAGGCGAGATATGCATTCAGGCTTCCCTCAAAAGTCCAGTTAACTTAGGTTACACAGTTCATGCCCTAGTTCATTGGTCAGTCCAAAACCAACCTAATAGCATAGATCAACCCATAGCACAGCCGAGTCAACTGATTCTTCAATCGGTCCCCCCTGTGTATCTGGTCCAACAAACCGTGCCATTTCCGCAATCAGTGGCGATGCCTATGGGTCAATACCCCCCCCAACGACAAATGTGTCAAACCGCCCCAGTAACCGTGGCTCATCCATCACAGGCCCAAGCAGGCCAACATCTACCCCAAGTCTCGACTCATC